CTCTCTCTCTCTCTCTCTCTCTCTCTCTCTCTCTCTCTCTCTCTCTCTCTCTCTCTCTCTCTCTCTCTCTCTCTCTCTCTCTCTCTCTCTCTCTCTCTGGCCGGGGCGGGGCAACATGGATCCTGTCGGCCCATATTAGAGTACCCCCTGGAGCAGCTGCCTGGAGACAGCTTTAGCGGACCGTTGCCCAGCCCCGTTCCAAAAGAAATGACGGGCCCCGACAATGTTGCGCACCGTCTCTCATCTCGGCCGCGTTCGCGCGCTCGGCTTCTCCCGAGCGCGCGCGGCGAGCGCTATACCCGTCTACTCGCCTCGCGACGGCAAGGTCTTTACCGAGATTCCCGACGCCACCGTCGCTGACGTCGAGGCTGCCGTCGAGGCTGCCGCCAGCGTGCAGGCGTCGGGATGGTCAAAGGCGGATGCAGTGGACCAGCGGGCCGAGTCGTTGCTCGGCATCGCGGCGGCGCTCACCGAGAGAAAGGACGAGCTCGCGGAGCTCGAGTCCCAGGTCAGCGACCGTATCCACTCAACCCCGATCCCTGCACGCTTGGAGCCGCCATATTAAGCCGCGTTTCGCGTCACGCACCCCACGGCAGGGTCTTTACGGCCCCCGTGCCTCCGCCTTTCGCACGCAGGACTGCGGTAAGCCCGTGAGCGAGACGGCGGGAGACATACAGATGTGCATCGACGTCTTCGAGTACATGGCAGAGCTGGCGCCAAAGATGCTGAAGCCGTCGCCGATCGCCCTGCCCGACGGCGACTTCCGCTCCAGCATCGTGCCCGCGGCCGCCGGCGTTGTTGGCGCCATCACGCCGTGGAACTATCCTCTCATGCAGGCGGCCGCCAAGGTTGCTCCCGCTCTCGCTGCCGGCTGCTCCGTCCTCCTGAAGCCCTCGCCGCTCGCCTCTCTGACCTGCCTCAAGCTCGGCGAGATTGGGCGGGAGAATGGTCTGCCGGAGGGTGCGCTCACCGTCATCACGGGCGGGCCGCCCGACGGCAAAGAGGGCGGCGCCGACTGCCTGACCAACCACCCACGGCTCGAGAGGCGGACTGCCCTCGGCCCCTTCTTGGAACCTTCTCGGAACCTTCTCGGAAGCGTCGCGGATAGGCTCGACCTGCTGTCCTTCACTGGGTCCTCCGCCGCCGGGAGCGCGCTGCTCCATTGCTCGGCGAACAAGCTGCGGCGGAGCTCGCTCGAGCTCGGCGGGAAGGGCGCGCTCCTAGTCTTTGAGGACGCGTCAATCGACGCTGCTGTCGACTGGGCCATGGTCGGCATCTTCTCTGCCGCCGGGCAGGTGATATCTCCCCATATCTCCCCATATCTCCCCATATCTCACCGTGAGCAGCGGCGAGGCGTGCTCGAGGTCATATCTCCCCATAGACCGCAGCCACGCCGTCACACGGCGCCGTCACACGGCTCCGTCGCACAGACACGCGAGATATGGGGAGATGTGGGGAGATGTGGAGAGATATGGGGAGATACGGCACTGTCGCACGGACACGCAGCCGGAGATCAGTCAGTCAGCCAGTGAGTGGTCCATATATTTCTGACCATCGCGCCGCGATGCGACTTGCGAGAGACTCGGCTGCACCAGCCCTGGTGACCACGGCCCAGCCCGCGCGCCCTCCGCACACCCGCAACACCACCACGCTGCAAGAAGAGAGCGCACCGCGCTCCACATCCCCTTAAGCGCATGAGTGTGGGCGCCGCCGCGGAGATCATTCATTCAGTCAGCCAGTCTTACACACGCCCTAGCACAGAGGACGGGCCCACGCGCACACACTACTCCACACACACGCTGCGCACGAGTGGCTCGGGAGCCGACACGAGGCCACACTGCCACCGGCCGTATCACTGGGTCCGGACTGCTGGACACGAGAGCTCACAGGGGCAGCTCCATGGCGCCGGAGATCGGCCGAGACTTGAGCGAGGATGTGGGCCATGGCGAGCATGCTCTCCGACACCGCGCGCGCGCTCCAGAAAGCTCGCGGAAAGCTCACGGAGTGTGCACGGAGTGCTCACGGAAAGCTCACGGAAAGCTCACGGAAGTCGCCCGCCCGCCAGGTCTGCTCCGCCACGTCGCGGCTGCTGGTGCACGAGTCTATCGCTACGGAGCTTCTCAAGGCCCTTGAAGAGACCACCGTCGCGCTGCGCGTCGGCGATCCGAAGGCCGAAGGCACCCAGATGGGCCCCGTCATCTCTGCCACGCAGCGCGATCGCATCGCCGCCGCCGTGCGGAAGGCCGAGGGCGAGCCGCCGCCGTGCTTTCTTCGGGAGGCGAACAGAGGCGCGGCTCACCGCCCGAGCTGCTCACAGGCGAGGGGGTGGAGGTACTCGTTGGGGGCTCCGGGCCGCCGGACGTGCCGGGGCTGGAGGGCGGATACTACGTAAAGCCAACCATCCTGAACAACGTCCCGGTCGGCAGCTCCGCGTGGCGCGAGGCTGAGAGCTCGGGTCCCGCGCTGCGCGGAGATCACCAGCGACCGATCCGGGGCTTGCCGAGATTAGGTGCGAGGAGATCTTCGGGCCCGTTCTGTGCGTCCGCACCTTCAAGACCGAGGAGGAGGCGGTCCGGCTCGCTAACGACTCGCCCTACGGCCTCGGCCACGCCGTTCTCTCTGCAGACGAGGCGCGCGCCGACAGGGTCGCGGCGCAACTCGACGCGGGCAACGTCTGGGTCAACTGCAACCAGGCGCTGTGGGCGCAGACGCCGTTTGGAGGGTGGAAGGCGAGCGGCTTCGGCTTCGAGTACGGCGAGGCGGGGCTCCACGAGTACTTGCGCCACAAGACCGTCACGAGCGCCAGGCAGCCGGGCTACTCATGGAAGGCGTACCATGGGTAGCCGTCTTCCAAGGGCCGGCGAGGCACGCGCGTCCACAGCGGAGGGCTCCAGAACAAGAGCGGGTGGCTGCGTGCCTGGACCTTTCGTGTGAACCTGTCTGCTGTTCTGTCTTTGAGTTGTGACGAAGCTTGTGTGTCCCTGATAGTGAGAGGCGTGGCGACGCAACCGACCGAGAGAGGTCGAGAGAGACCAGAGACGACTCTCGACTTCGAGGGAGTCTGTGGCGCTGGTCCCGCACGGTGCCGGTTCTTCCTCGTCTCTAGTGACGGACCGTCTCTGGTGACGCTGACGCCTGACGGGCCCTTGTGCCCCGTTGAGATAAATGTACCGTAGAACTATATGAGATAAATGTACCGTAGAACTATACTCAGCAAGTAAGAGCCTTACGAGTTACGTCCGGCAGCCGCGGTGCTCAGCCAAGGCCTGCCTCGCCTTGCCGGCGTGCAAGGTGTTTCGCGAGGCCGAAGCCACCCGCTCGAGGCACCGGGTGGCCACGTCTGAGGCGAGCAGCGCGCTGCGCACCGTGCCGTCCTGGCAGAGGGCGAGGAGGAGATCGGTCGCCCGCTCTTGTACCTCGCCCTCCCTCGCGGCGTCGCCGGACCCTATGGACCCTATCGCAGCTCCGCTGCACGAGGAGAGCAACGCCTGCAGCGCGGCTGATGAGGTGAGGAACTCCTCGGCGGCGCGCGGGCAGTTGTCCACCAGCCCGCAAAGCACGGCGTAGCACATGCTCTGCACGGCGGGCTCTCCGGCCGGCGCCGCGGCGGCTGCAGATTTCTGCAGCACGCCGACGGCGCCCAGGCGGAGAGTGGCGAGCTTGCTCGCCTCTGGCTGGCCATAGAGGCTGTTGAGGAGGACGTGCAATGCCTCCTCCTCGACGTGCGGTGGCGCGTGGGGCAGCAGCTCGAGGAGGGTGGCGAGGCCGCCGCGCTGCGCCATCGCGAGCCGCAGATCCTCGAACTCGTACACCATCCCGTTCAAGACCGGCAGGCACCGCTCCAGCTGCTCCACCGCGGCCGTATAGAGAGGGTCGCCCATCCTCCCCGGAGGCGGCGCGGGTGGCTCGAAGAGGACGTTGACGGCCAGGCCGGAGTGGTGAAGCATTGCGTAAGAGGTAGCCGTCCTCGCCGGCGGAAGTCGGCCTCGCCACCGTGCGCAAAGTGCAGGTGAGGGTCGCCGGTGGAGGCCGCCCGGCCTTGAGGGGGGGCGGCGACGGCGGGGCCGGCGCGAACGGGGGCGGTGCTGGCGGATTGGGCGGGTGCGGCGGCTCGGGCGGCGGCATTGGCGGCGACGGCGGGAAAGGCGGCGACGGTGGTGTGGGCGAGGGGGAAGGGGAGGGCGACGGAGGGGGGGAGAAGGGCGGTGGCGACGGGGGAGGCGCAAAGGGCGGCGGGGTGGGCGGCGCCGGCGGTGGAGGCGTCGGCGCCTTGCCTGGTGGGTACGGCGACGGGGAAGGCGCCATGCCTGGTGGAAACGGATCGGGTGCCGCCGTTGGCGCCAAGTCGGTGCTGATGCCGCAGACGCCAAGGCCGTCAATGTCGAGCTTTTCTTCGGCGATGGGGTCGCTTGCAAACACGTCAGACATGACTGCGTTGACCGCGGCGCAGTCGTCCTGGTCACTGCACTCGATGGCAACTGACACCATGTCTCCGAGGCAGGGAGGCGCAGGCGGGGAGGTCTCCGAGAGGGCGCGCCCGGGATAGCCATCCGGCTCGTACAAAAGGCGGCGGCGGGTGGGCGGCGGAGGCGGCGAGATCGAGGTGGCCAAGTCGACGCCGTTGCAGGTCATCTTGACGCTACTCTTGCCCGAAAGTAGTTGGACCTTCTTCAACAACTCCATGAAGCTCGCGGCGCTGCAGATGAACAAGTCGTCGGTCGGATCGTCGTCGAACGCAGTGAAGTTGGCGACGAACGCGCCGTGAGGGTCCGAGATGGAAGGCTCGACGGGCGGAAAGGGCGGAGGCATCGGTGGATCCGGTGAAGAGGGCGGGAACCCCGGGGGTGAGGGAGAGGACGGTGGCGCCGTTGTGGGCACGCTGGTTGGCACCGATGTCGGGGACGACGAAGGCAGCGAGGTTGGGGTCATGCTCGGTGTCGAGGAGGGGGCAGCACTCGGCGATGAGGAGGGAAGGCTTGTGGGTGCCGAGGATGGTGAAGAGCTAGGCATCGACGATGGGGCTGAGCTCGGCGAGGAGCTGGGTGCGGATGACGGGGAGGAGCTTGGAGCGGAGGAGGGGGCGGAGGTTGGAGCGGAGGAGGGAGCGGCGGAGGGAGCCGACGAGGGGGAGGAGCTGGGCGCGGCACTGGGCGAAGAGGACGGGGCAGAACTAGGCGCAGAGGAGGGAGCGGCGGAGGGTGACGAGGAGGGGGCGGAGCTCGGAGCTGACGAGGGCGAGGAGGAGGGGGCGGAGCTCGGAGCGGACGAGGGCGAGGAGGAGGGGGCGGAGCTAGGAGCAGAGGACGGGGAAGATGATGGCGCAGAGCTCGGCGAGGAGGAGGGTGCTGACGAGGGCGCGGTGCTCGGCGAGGAGGATGGTGCTGACGACTCCTGTGGGGAGCAGCCGCCCATTCGCTCGTTTGAGCCCGCCGCCGCTCACGGAGCTCCGTGCAATACCGGCCGCCATGACTTCACGTGGTAACTGAACGGCGTATAACTGAACGGACCTCTTGATTTTCCAACAACACACGTATATCACAAGGAATTTGAAAAAGAAATCGCAGTCATCGACGCTCGCCCATCCTGCTGGAATATGGAGCACAGTGGTGCGGCATACCCTTCCGGCATCTTGGCGCCGCCGGTTAGTGGTGCGTATCCCAGCATGGCAGCGCCAGAGACAGTGGAGACCCTCCGCCCTCTTACGTCGCTGCTCGCGGCGGAGAACGCGCAGCTCTTGGCGCAGCAGGCGCAGCAGGCGGCCGGCACTGCGCTCATCACGGCACTTGCGATCGTCACATCCACGCCGGATGGCACGCCGGATATGGCACGCCTGCACGCGGAGCTCCAGGTCGCCTCGCAGCAGCAGCAGAGCGCGCAGGAGTTCCTCCGGCAGGCGACCGATTCGATGCGCGGCACCAAGACGTCCGTCGAGACAGCGATGCACACGCTCGTGAGCGCTCAGGCGTCTGCTGCGCCAGCATATGGCGTGCCGCCGATCTACGGCGGGAGCAGCCCCGCCGCGCACGCGTACCAGCCCTCCCATGCGCCCAAGCGCACGCTCGACGGTGACGCAAAGGCGGCCATGTACAAGACGGTGCTGTGCAAAGGGTTTGCGTCGACAGGCGGCTGTCCGTACGGCGCCAAGTGCAACTTTGCACACGGGCAGGCGGAGCTGCGGGCCAAGCCGGCGGCGGCGGCGCCGCCATTCATACCGTCGACGTCGCAGCAGTACGCGCCTCCCGGCTCCTACAGTGTGGCTACCGCCCCGTACCCGTACGGTGCGCCGCCGCAGCCGGCGGCGGTGGAGACGGCTGCGTACGGGAGGCAGCCGCAGCCGCCCTCGGTCAGCGGGAAGCCCCCCGGGTGGAGGACGGTGCTTTGCAGGCGGCATGCAGCGGGCACCTGCACATTCGGCGACCGTTGCAACTTTGCACACAGTGTGGAGCAGCTGCAGCCAAAGGTCGACGAGTTCGGACGAGTCGTGCCACAGGATCGCTCCTACTCGCGGTAGCCGCGGGGGAGTAGATGGGGGGGGGGGGGGGGGGGGGCTCCTGGGAGCACAACATGTCTCTCTACTCTCACGCTGCCATATCTCTACTTACACGAATCTCCCCAAAGCCAAACACACACCACACGCCCTCTGCGTCGGGGTTGCGCCTGGGACCGCCCGCGGCCGCGCCCCCCTGGCGCGTACTAGTCTATACGTGGTACAGCCCATCCCACTTCTCATGTGCGCATCATCGATCATGATTCATGTCACACATGTGTGTGTGGTTCATCCTGGTTCTCGCGCGGATCGCTCGCGCCGCGCGTCTCGCGCTCGACCTCGAGGTCGCACACAGGTGTGGGATGTTTTTGTTCACTGATCAGTCGTGTACTTGAGCACGCGACGGGGCGCGGGGGCTGCGCAACCGGACGTCGCGCACACAAGCCGCGTGAAGCGAGCAAACAAACGACGAACGCGGAGAATCCTCGCACCCTCTCCGTTCCTGTACCCGCGCGTCGAGTAATCTCCGCCGGCAGCAGCTGACTCGCACGGCGAGTGCAGTCGCGCCACGTGTCAGATGGCCTTCTTCATCCCCTTGTCCAAGCTGATCCCGCCCGGGCCGTGCAGCGCGAGCAGCATTAGCCCGCCGATGATGGAGAGGGTCTGGAAAAAGTAGTAGCGGTAAAAGTCCCTCAGGCCCTCGCGGATGGACCAGAAGGGGTACATGTAGAGGTTGGACAGGAAGAGGATGCCGCATAGCAGCAGCGCCGACCACTCCGTCTTGAAGCCCGCGCAGACCATCCCTGCGGACGTGCCGTGGACGCGTCGGCAGAAACGTCTCTGACTCGGAGGTGTGATCTAGGTGTCTCGGAAGTGTCTCGGGGGCGTCTCGCACCCGCCAGGCCCGCGAGCACCACGAAGCTGATGAGCCCGAAGAGAGACGGCGCCGTCCAGAGGCGGTGCATTCCGCCATTCTCAGAGTACACGGCCTGGAAGAAGAAGAGGAACGTCAGCAGGACGCGCCTACGCTAGAAAAAGAAATACGCGTCAAAAAAAGAAACACGCGGGCCGAAGGTCAGCAGGACGCGCCTATGACGGCTCCGGCCGGGCTGGGGAGAAAAGGCGGCGCAAAGAGGAGGCGGCCGGACGGCAGCGCTAACCCGCAGAGCTGCAGCCGGTCCGAGCTCGTCGACTCCATGCCTGGCCGTGTGGGGCGGCGGAGTGGGGGGGCGGAGTGGGGGGGCGCGGTGCGGGGCACGCGCTGCGGCGTCGAGAGTGGCGGTGGCGTGGGAGGGGCGGGCGCGGCAGGGGCGGGCGCGGGCACCGGACGGCAAGCCCATGTCCTCGCTGCGCTGCTTGCGGTCGTTTTCGGACCAGATGAGCAGCAGCAGCCCGCCCGCTAGTGTCACACTGCGGCACATGAAGTCTGCGTCGCGCGCCTAGAAGCTGAGCACGCCTCAGGGCGGGGAGACGGGATTGTGCAGTGTGTTCAGAGCACCGCGTGAGTACAGCTGAATGCGTGTCCTCTCGGGCGCTGGTTGGGATACAAGAGTCCGTATTCCGCTTAATGCGTCGCGCGCCTGGCCGTACATGAAGGGCTGATCTCGGCTGATCTCGGCTGATCTCGGCTGATCTCGGCTGATCTCGCCTGGCCGTACATGAAGGGCTGCAGGAAGACGAAGGCGAGCAGTGTGTAGCAGCCAACCTTCACGCGGCTGGGCTTGACCTCCTTTGGACGCAGCACCAAGACGCTCCCCGTCATCTGCGGACGGCGGCGGCGGCGCCGGTAAAGCGGCTGTGTCTTGGTGCGGGCCGCGAGAGCGGGTACCAAATCAAGGGTGAGCGCCGCGGCTGCAGACCCGCGCGACTGCCTGCGAGTGTCCGGCGTCCGCGACTCCCGCGAGAGCAGGCTGAAGGCGCGCCAGCGGCGGCGGCGGCCCGCTCCACCCGCGGCACGCGCTCGCGTCTCGCGTCTCTCTCTCTCTTTGGCTGCGCGGCCGGGCGCCGCAGTGCCGGCGCCTGCGTCACGAGCGAAAAGATGAGCAGGAGTCCACCCAGCCAGCCGCTCCTGCGCGGCGGCGGCGAGCGGCGCGTGTGAGGCGCGCGGTCCGAGCGAAATCCGCTGCGGCTCGCTGGGTGGGGGCGGCGCGCGCATGCGCATCGTGACGGTCATGTAGCTCATCTGCTCCTTCCAGCGCAGCAGCACGCGCAGCGCATCCTCGATGAAGGTGAGGCAGAGGAAGAGGGGGCCGGCCGAGGCGAGGAACTCCTGGCGCCGGCGCTTCGTCAGGCTGCGCTCCAGCACCGGCTCGACCGCCTCCTGTATCTGCCGAAGGACCTGCTGCATGCCGCTGCGCTCTCTGCCGCCTGCATCGATACGGTGAAAGGCGCTCAGCGCCTTGGCGTGCTGCAGCACGGAGGCGTGGAGGCGCGCGCGGCCAGACAGCGACCGTTCAGAGTTCGGCCGTCGCCAGGCCAGGGCCAGGGCCAGGCTGAATACTGTGTTCGTGCTCTTGCGCTGGCGGTGCGCTGGCGGTGCGATGGCCGCTGCAGAGGCACGCGGCAAAGGCGCGCCGGCGGCACTCTATGGGAGAGGGAGAGGGCTCCTAAAGAAAAAAAACAGACCGCCCAAGGCGTCCGAACCAGGCTGAATACTGTGTTCGTGCTCTTGCGCTGAGGACCTGCAGCAGCGCCCTGAATCGGCCGCCGAACCGGGCACACCTCGGTTCAGCGCAACCCAGCTCGGCTATTGCAATAGAAAGCTGTACCGCCCCACCCACCCCAAAAGCACGATTCTGATTGGCCCCTCAGGGGGTCGATGCCCGCAGGCCAAATTAGGTAGGGATGGGAGGAGAAGGATAGAGTCCCCTCGACTTCGCTTGCGGAGAATAGGGAGGCGACGAGCCCACGACGAGCGCACGAGCGGGCTGGCGTGGGGCCGCGGAGAGGGAACAAAACTCACACACACACACACACACACACACACACACACACACACACACACACACGCACACACACGCACACACGCACACACACACACACACACACAGGGCTGCGGCAAACAACAACTCTCTCTCAAACCAACGATAAACAACCGCGGACAAAAATATCTCTATCCGAGACGGGTGCTGGGCAGTACACACAGAAGAGAGAGAGACATTCGGCGGCGGCTTCTCGCACGCAAGGCTCAGCGCTCGGGCGTTGACCGTTGACCGCACCGCCTACTCTCCCCACTCCCGCCTCTCGTTTTCGGTGTCACACCACGCGGAACGCATCTACCATCGCTTCGGTGAAGAGGGGGTGAACCGCGCCATCCTCGATCGCCGTGCATACTCGAGTAGCTCGCTTCCGAGCTCTCACGCCGGTAGCGCGTAGGGCCTCTGGGGCCTAGACTAGTAGAGGCCCTAGAGAATACACACCCCTCTCAACCTATCTCTCTCTCCCCTCTCCCTTTTTCTCCCATTAAGATTTAAGCTAAAAGAAAGTACGTTCGTAGACATCGCGGGAACATCGCTCCAACCAAGGCCCTTCCTTAGACCTTACCATAACTTGAAGTTTAAGAAAGAGAGCGTAGTGTGTGCCAGCACCGTGCCCAGAGTTATGCGCGCCCCCGGTTCTTTTTTTGCTTGTCCGCCGGAAATTCTTTTGCGGGAGTCCGCGCCAGTCCGCGCCCTTGTTGTGCCAGTATGCCGCGTGAGACTCGAAGAATTCTTGAGCCGGTGTGTGTGCCAGTCCGCGCCAGTCCGCGCCCTTGTCGTGCCAGTGTGCTGTGAGAGCGTTTTAAGAATTCTTTTACGGGCCACACATGGAACCCTGTTGGCTGGCGAGTAGAGACCACGCCTCACTTTTTCACAGGGGGGGATCCGCTGGAAAAAGGTGCTTTTCGCTGCGCATGCTCGAGCCCCCGGCGAGGGCTTGTGCTGTGAATAGCAGGCGTGGTCTCTACTCGCCAGCCCTGTTGGAACCACGCTCTTTGATCTTCGCTCAGTCCCACCTATGGCACCCAGCCGCACGTGGGAGGACCTCTTCCCGCAAGACGTTCAGATCCTCATCGCAGGCGCCCTCTCTGTGTCGTGCGACCCGCTGTGCCGACCACCAGTGGCAGCAGCGGCTGTCGCCGGCGTGTCCCACGCTCTTCGCGAGCTCCTCCGGCCGGCGCTTGAGGAAATGCGGGCAGCGTGGACGAAATCAGGCGAGATGGCGACATCGCTGGGCATGACCAGGGAGCAGGTCGAGTCCGCCACCGTGCTGTGCCCGGCATCAGGCTTCGCGGCCGGCCACGCCGTCACGCTGGGCGAGCTCATGCCGTTGCTGCGAGGTTTGCTCCGCCTCGACCTCGCGCACAAGAGCCTCGGGCTCCGTCCCTTGCGGCCGCTCCTCTCGGCTCTCGATCACGCCGCAGCGCCGCGGCTTCAATTCCTCGTCCTCGACGGCAATCTGCTGGACGACGAGTTCTGTGGCGCCCTTGCAGCGGTGCTGCTCGAAACCGACTCCCCTACGCTGGCCTCGCTCAAGGAGCTGCACCTCGCACACAACCGCATCACTAGCCGCGGTATTGCGGCGCTGTCAGACACGCTCTCTTTCGGGGCGCTGCCGCAATGCGAGGCCCTCTCGCTGGCGTCCAACAGGGTTGGCGATGCTGGCGTCGCGGCGCTCGTGAGGAGCAGCATGGGCGGCGGCGGCGGCCTCAGGAAGCTGCGGCGCCTCTTTCTTCACTCCAACCTCCCCATCACAAGACTTGGCCTCCGGGCGCTCAGCGCCGCCCTCTGGGACCGCGCCACCCTCCCGGCGTTGCGAGTGCTCCACCTGCCCGCACTCAGCTCGCACGCGCAAGCGCAGCACCCCGCGATTCCGTGGTATCCAGACGACGAGACGATCGCGGCCTCCTCCGCGCGGGGGGTCGACGTGGTGTGGTGCTTCGACCTGTCGGACAGGGCGTAGATAGGTATGCATGCGTTTGTGGTGTGCGTTTGTGGTGTGCGGTCACTTTCTACACGCGGCGTAGGAAAGTGACTAGCCCAATGAGAAAGAAAGTGTCGGGCCGTCGGGGGACAGTCGGGGGAGCGACGGGAACCCAGATGACGGTCGCGCGGGGCCGCCGACTCGCGTCTCCGTCAAACTGGCACTATTGTAGCCCTCGCTGGCTCCCTATGGCGGAGCCGGGGGTGCGCGCGGGGGCAAGTTCGAAGTTGCTCACTGCGGCGCGCGGGGGGGCGAGAGAGCACCTCTCGTCCGCTGGGTGGGTGTGCTGCGGAGTCTGTGAGGCCACGGAAAGCAAGAAAAGAATTCCGGTGGCCCGAACGCCGGTCCCTAAGAAGATCTCGACGATGTCACGGCTGACTCACGCCCGGCTCCCCTCTCCCGCCACCCTCGATCAGCTCTGCCTCTGGGGAGCTCCCCTACACACCTGCCTCGGCATGCCGCTATTTAGATTTTTAGTGTTCACACCCTCGATCAGCTCTGCCTCTGGGGAGCTCCCCTACACACCTGCCTCGGCATGCCGCTATTTAGATTTTTAGTGTTCGAGAACTACTCCGTACTCGAGTCTCATGGGTCTCGTCAGGTGCTACGACTCGTCTCTCGAGACGCAGGAATGAGGACAAGTGTCATTCACTTGCTCTGACGATGGAACAAGACGACTGCTGTACGTGTATGTCTCGCACTCTCGCTTGCCACGTTCCTCCCTAGAAGGAGCTCCGACAATGTCTTCAATGTCACGGCTCACGCCCTCCCCCCTCCCGCCACCCTCGCCTCCCTCATGCTCTGGAGCTCCCTACACACCTGCCTGTGCCCGCCCGCGGTCCAGTTCTCTGCCTGGCACGCCGCGCTGCAGTAGAGCATCACCTTGCACGCGCTGCACCGCTTGAGCTTGCGCCGGGGGAGCAGCTTGCCGCACTCCGCGTGGTGGCACGCGCCCAGTAGCACCAGCTGCTCCGGCCCGTGTGCGGTCCCCAGGTTGCCTGCAGGCGCCGCGCCGCGCTCTCCCGCGCCACGCCCTTCCTCGCCCGCGGCGCCGCGCAGCAAGGCCGAAGCCTCGCCGCTCGCGGCGAGCGCCTCCACCACCGCCGCCATCACGTCGGCGACGAGGGGCGCATCCTCTGCTCGCCCCGCCTCCGCAGCAGGCTCCGGCTCGGGCTGGAAAAAGGCGGGCAGCGAGTGCGTCGGCGCAGGTGGCTCCGCCGGCGCCGGCCGAGCTGCGGCGCGCTCCTCCGTGGCCGGCTGTGGGTGTGGGAGGCGCAGCGTCTCGCGCAGCAGAGACGCCGGCCACTGGACGCGCTGCGAGGAGGCGTCGATGCACGCGACGTCTGTCCCGCACCCCTGAAGAAGCCCAAAGATGTAGTCGGCGAGCGCACGGTCGCTCGACGTGAGGCTGGCCGGCTTGGACGCCGGCTCCCGCCGCAAGTATGCACAGATGACGCCCCAAAACGCCTCCTCGTACGCCTCAAAGGCCGAGGAGCTGTGTATGGCTCGCAAACACAGCACCTCGCCGGTGGCGGGCTCCACGGCCACTGCCAGTGCTGCCTCGCCGGACGGGCGGCCGTAGAGATCGACAGTGGTACCTCGCAGAACGAGGAGGGAGGGCACCACCGCTCCGCGAGTTGTCGAGGCCGCGGCACCACTTCTCTCCGTCGCCGCCGCCGCAGAGCGTGATGGACGGACCTGTGAGGACGGTTGTAAACCATCCACCGGTCTGCCTTCCGGGAGCGCCTGGCGGCCGTCCTGGAGGCTGTGCCGACGCAGAGGAGCTGGTGAGCGCAAAATGGCAGGCGCCGTTGATGGAGATCATGTCTGGAAGCTGCTCTGCGGGGACTGGCACTGGTGTTGGTCCAGAAACAGCGATGTTGGGGGGGTGACGGTGAGCAGGATGGTGAAAACGCAGTAGACTCCGGAGCCGAAGGCGACGCGAGTCATAGCGCGAGCCACGCAGGCCGCAGAGAGAGCGCAAGCGGCGGTGAATCGCTCGCGAGCGCGCACAACGAGCCGGCGGGCGGCAGTGAGAAAGTAGTGGACAAAGTCGACGGTGACGACAAAGATGGAGGTGGCGATGGAGAGGGCGAGCTGGATGATGGGCGGCGCTGAGCCGAAGATGGCGCGGGCGCAGGGGCGCAGGCCGGAGACGGCGCGGGCGCGAGGGCGCAGGCCGAGGTTGTCGTCGAGAGTGACGGGATCGCCAGAGTAGTCGGTGATCAGATTGGTCATTTCGCTGCTGGGCGTGGCGGAGATGTCCGCCATGACCTCGGGGGTGGAGTGCACCTCACCGTAAGGTACCACGTTTGAGCGCGAAGGCTCAGAGCCGGAGGGTGGCTGGCTGAACCTGAAGGATGATAAAGGACCAGAAAGGCACGACGTCTAGGACATCGCGACAGACAAGACGCGCCGACTAAGGGACGTCGACGTGACACGATTGTGGCACAGAGGGTGTGATGCTGGAGTATCGACATTCATGGGGCACGGCGCAGGATGCGCCGTGCTAGTACACCGTGTGTAGCGTGTGTGAAGGGTAGCACAGGTTGGCCTGTCCGAGGGTTTCCGGCAACCCAGAGGGAAACCAGAGGGTCCCCAGCACTTTGCGTTTCCGGAAGTTTCCAGGGAAACCAGTACCAGAGGTTGTTTGGTGCTCCATTCTGTTTCTCTCGAGTTTCCCTCGGGAAACTCGCGAGTTTCCCTGAGTCTGAGAGCTGGTCTGGGGCAAAATCTGGGGCAAAATTGAGGAAATCGGCACGATACCCAGGTATTTTCCAGGTATACCGGGGTTTTCCAGGTATACCCGCAAAATACCCGGTATTTTGCCGATTTTGGCCCCAAAACAGCCTCAGACACGGCTCAGAGCCCCCCCAAAATGACGAATTCCACGGAGTTTCCCCGGGGTTTCCCGAGGAAACTAGAGGGTGTTGTAGGGAAACGAGCAGGAAACACGGAAAGGAAACCAGGTAGGGTGCGAGAGGAAACCCTCGGACAGGCCAAAGCACAGGCGTCCGAATTCAGACGGTCGCCTCGTGAATAAACGAGTATATTGTAGCGGTGCCTTTGTCGACAAGGCCCCTCCGACAGCGATGCGTCGTGGGTGCCCGAGGAGTAGGCGGCGGGGGAGGCAGTGGGGCTGAGAGAGAGAGCAGACAGAGAGGAGGGGGAAAGATCCGTGTGTGTGTATCGGCGTCGTGTTGCTCGTCCCAACGCTACCCGTCACAAATCCTTTTCCGTCGCTCGCACTTCACGCGCCACGCCCCCGAGGGCGGGGCCCGGCGCCCATCGGGCGCCGGCCGATCTCCTCTACGAGTAACGGTTCTCGCTATCTTTATCTCCTCTCCGGGCTCGCTCGCTCATGCAGCCGCTCTCCCTCTCGCACGACGAGGTCTTGGAGATCGTCCGCGAGGTCATCGCGCCGGATCTCGCAACGCGCAGCCTGCCGTCTGCCCTCTCTCTGAGCCGGTCATCGAAGGCCATGCGCGCGGCGGTCGCGCGCGCGTTTGACGAGATGCTGTCGCTGGCGGGCGCACTCACCGACGCGTGGACGGCTCTGCTTGGGCGCGCCATCGAGACCCACCTCAGCCCTGCAGCCCTCTCGCTGCGCCTCGACCCGGCAGCCCTCGAGCGCGCGCTGACCGGGCTGCGCGGGCTCGCTGCGCACAGCGACAACCGCGCGCCTCTCTTGCGGCTCGGCGTGCTCATGCCCCTCTGCCACCAGCTCAACTTTGCCATCCACCCTGCCACCGGCGAGCCACTCTCGGACGCGCGCCAGCGCGCCGACGACGTCCTGCACACCCTCGAGCGCATGGACCCCACCGACCCCGTCGACCGGTCGACGCGCCTCGACGTCCAACTCGCCCGGCACAGCTGCTGGCTCAAGTATGGGGACTTTAAACAGCGCGATCAGAACCTCATTATGATGCGCGCCATCTTCCGAAACCTGCGCCAGTACTCTGAGTCCCTGCCGGTCCTCCGGTTTCACCGCACCACCGACGCGATTGAGGCTCTGCTCATGACAGTTGCTGAGCCACCAAGCGTTGGCCTCCTCCACTCCCAGTACATCCACTTGCGGAAATCTGCGCTTCAGACTCTGGAGTGCGTCTGCAGCCTCAACAGCGAGCTTGCGGCGGCGGTCGCCTGCTTCGGCTGGCGGTCCAACGGCGTCGACCGCGTTGGGCGCTCTGTCCTTCTCGAGGCTGTCGCGCCTGCAAATGGGGACGAGACATGGAACACATCCTTTGCCGCCGGCGCACTACGTGGGATCGCAGCCTCCAGCTCCGACGAGGCGCGGTTCCTCGTCAATCGCAGCGGTATAGCCATCTTCCTCACGATGGCATTTCGTCCCGGGCTTTCGGTCCGAAGCACCGAAATTCGGAGAAATTCGGCGCAAGTGCTCGCGGCGATGGCTGCGGCGGTCCCGGCAAGCTTCATCTCTTCGGTCGTGCTTGCGGGCGCCACGAGGATCCGCACGGGCGCGGTCCAGCATCTCGTCGAGCTCATCAACCGCAACGAGCCGGGCGTGCACGCGGCGATGCTAGGCTCGCATTCCCATAACTGGGCGGCCACGCCTCCGCCGAGCTGGGAATCGGCGCTAGTCATCTCGTCCGCCGCAGCCGAGGCGCTCTACCGCATCGCATCGGTCACCGACCCTCTCTACTCACGTGACTATGGGTTTGCGATCTTGAACGCGGGCGCGGCGGGCCCCCTCGCTCGACTGTTCAAATATCACGACGACGCCCGCGCCCGCGGCTTCGCGGTGGGGCTCCTCCACATGCTCGGCTCGCTCGTTCCGGATGGCGCGATGGGCGCGGGCGAGTCGGGCGAGTACCGCCCCGCTCTGCCTCCGCGCCGTCTTGTGCTCTCCAAGATCGTCCAGGAGGGCGTCATCGCGAATATCGCGACTACCATTCGCAATGGCGACGTGGACGTGGGGGACGCTGCCGCTGCCGCCACTCTCGTTCGCGACGCGATCATCCAGGCCGCACACGATCGCCAGTACATCCGTGTCCGCTACCGGCCGGGCGCTATCCAGACCTCGCGTATGCCGTACACGGAGGCGCGCATTGTGAACGTGCACCCGGACGGCTTCGTCGACGTGGCCTACTTGGTCCACAACACCGTCGGCGTTCACGTGGACTACAAGTTTGTGGCCCCCCCGCTCAGCATCTGGCTGCCTTGCCTCCCCTTGCTCGCTGACGAGAGCGCGCTGCCCTCGGTCGTGCGCATTCTCTAAGCTCTAAGCACACCCCAATGCAGAACCCTCTGAAACTCTCGAGTATGGCTAGGCGGGGTAGGGAGGGTTAGGAGGCTATCGTCCAGCAGAGAATGAATTCGCGAGAGGCCTCCACGTCTTGTTTCGTCACTTTGTTCGAGTTCGTCAGCGTTCTACGGTGAGAGATTTGCGCCGCCGGCAGCTACGCCGCGCGCGTCTGTTCGCTTGTTTCTGCGATCGAAACCATGGGTCGACCGGACGCTCGGACGTCGGAGACGAGCCCGAGCCGAGAGATTCACCATACACGGAACACGCATATTAGACCCCCGTGGTGGGGAGCGGACACGGACACCGGGGACTCTAGAGGAGACGCAGAGCCGTACACCGCTCTCTCTACGAGCCGCGTAGCGGTGGCCCATGCCGCCGCCGCCGCGTGGGGGGCCGAGAAACTCTGCGCGCTCTGCCGCTCTGCCGCTGTCGCGCGCAGTGCGCTACTGCTGTGCCGCTTCTGGAGGGGGGGGGGGCTGGACATAGTCCACTCGTGTCACACAAAAAGCTCAACCACCTGTCAACGGGTCACAGACCGAGTAGAGCGAGGTCTGAGGACTGAGACCTCGATGGACCCCCTAGTCTCCCCACAGACGCCACTCTGCGCCGAAGCGCCCGCAACGGTAGTCGGTACACACCGACCAGCGACCACGGGGCACCAACCCAAGCAGCCTCGACGGTCGACCTTTCGCTGCCCGTAGCTCTAACTACGCGGGCGCACGATTTCGCGCTCCTCTCTACTCCGCCCGGGCGTGCCTCTCTACGCCGCCCGGGCGTGCTCTCCTCCTCACGCCATTCGACGTGGCTGGCGGCGTGGCTCGGGAGGCGTGGTGGTACGCCTCTTAGCGGAGGGTGGCCTGCGCCGCGGCGGGGAAAAACTTGACGAACCTGTCGGCGTGGCCTGGCTTCATCTCGGTCCAGGCTGCGATCTGCGATTGGGGGGAGGGGCAGACTCTTAGCGCAGAGGGTGCAGTGGCGAGGGGGGAGGCGCCGCGGGCTGCTCGCACCTCGATGAGCTCGGTGAGCTCCGCATTGGGGGGAGGGGCAGACTCTTAGCGCAGAGGGTGCATTGGCGAGGGGGGAGGCGCCGCGGGCTGCTCTCGCACCTCGGTGAGCTCCGCAGTGTCGAGGACGGCGAGGAAACCTACGAGATGACGCCTCGCCGTGAAGAGAATGCCTGTACGAATACAGCGTCGAGGAGGGCGAGGCAGCCGAGGTCGTCCCAGCCATCCAGCTCGAAAGCCGGCGCGTACGCGCCCAGCTTGAGCCTCTCGAGCGCGTTCTTCACGGCCTCCATGCTGCCGTTCCAGTCCCGGGACGAGGAGGAGGCGGCGGCTGCTGCTGGCGCGGGCGTGGAGGAGGCGGCGGCGGAGGGGGACGCGGCGGAGGAGGAGTGGGAGCTTGCTGCCGACGCCGGGGGGTGCACGCGCGCCCGCTTCGGCGCCGGCGGCTGCGGAGCCGCCCGCTTGCCGCGCGCCCTATCCTTGGCGGCTAGCTTTGCCGCCGAGGCGGCGGAGGCGGCGGCGGCGAGGCCCAAGCGAGCCGCCTCCGCCTTGCCCTCGGGCGAGCGCGCGACGGCGAGCGCCGCCTCGTCGGTGGTGGCGAAGGCTCCGAGGCTTCTCCCCTTGACGACCGCCGCGAACGGCTTGGGCTTTCTCGTCGAGCCGCACTGGACGCCCCAGAAGCCGCTCATGCCGCTGCCCGGAATGAGAATGAGGCCCTCCGCCCGGACCGCCGCCTGAACCTCTTCCTCGGACAGCTCCTTTGCCGCCCGCGCCTTAACGGCCGCTTTGCCGGCCCCGCGCGCCTTGCCGCCGGCAGCCCCGCCCGCTCGCGCCTTGCCGCCGGCAGCCGCGCCCGCGCCGCGCTGTTGGCTCTTGGCATCGGTGTTGCGGCCCGCTCGCACTTTGCCCCGCGCGACCCACGACAGCGGGTGCCAGCGCTCGTCGCCGTCGTTGTACGACACGTGGAAGTATCCGTCCTTCAGCCCATCGACCACGCCGGCGAACCAGCACTGCGACAGCTCTGCCTGCTTCGCGCCTGCATAAGGCTTCAAGCCCCATTCGACCTGGACGCGCACCCCGAGGTGGATGAGCGGCGGTTGCGGCATCCAAACAGTGAGCACGGAGGAGGCGGAGCGCAGCATGCGCGTCATCGCGGCGTTGGAGTCGTTACAGTTGGCGTCTAAATTTCTTTTTTCTCTTCGCGGGGCTCTGCCAGCCCCAGACCCCAGGCTGGGGCTCCGGCCCAGACCCCGAGTTAGGCGCTGCCGGCTGCCAGAGGCCGAGTTACATCTGCAGGGGCGAAAGCCGTCTGAGCTCGAAAAAAATCGGGATCTAGCACCTGTACACCACGGGAGCCGCCTACCCGCTGAGAGCGCCGCGAGAGGGCAAGAGGCCTGAGCATCCCCTCCCAGTCCAACTGCGCGGGTCTCTCACTGCTGCCAGATCGCCCGTCCATGCTAGAGCACCCGTACATCTAGTACCCGTCCGTCCGCCGCTAGCTAGCGTCCTCCGAGCCCCTCCCCCATACCACGCGGGAGCCCATCTCGTCGGTGCGCCGGGCCCTCGTCGCGCCCACGGGGTGCCGCCCGCTTGCACCCTTTTGCCCTTCTCATAACTGCCCCACCGCTTGGGCAGCGGCTGGTCCGACAGGTCCTCTCCGTGGCCTAGGCGGCCGCGTTCGGCCTCGCCCCAGCTCCAGGCGGTAAACCCCGTGCGCGACGCGATTTGGGCTCGAGCTCCCAGGGCAGAGGAGGCAGAGTACACGTGGCACGTGAACATGTCTGACGTGGCTCTGCGCGACAGGGTCTACTCGCCTGTCTTCAAGAGCGGCCAGTGCCGCTGGCGACTCATCCTGCGCGCCAAGAGAAGTGACGGTGTGAAAGCGGCATTTTCCATCTTCCTCGAGGTGCCCGACGCGGCGACGCTGCCACAGGGCTGGACGCGGCACGCGGAGTTCAAACTCACCGTGCACAATCAAAAGCCCTCGGGGAGAGTCACCAGACCATGTGCGCTGCACCCGCGGCCCGAACCCGCACTTCCAAGCGTCGCGTGACCCAGCCCTACTCCGCTGCACAGACGCCTCCCATCCGTTCAGCGCACGGAAGCCGAATGTGGGCCACCCGGAGCTTGTGACGGTTGCGGAAGTCTGCGAGGCGGGCTCCGGCTATGTGGTAGACGGCAAACTCGTGGTCTCTGTCAAGGTGCGCGCCCAGGCAGCGAGGCCGCCTTTCCTGTGGCGGCCGCGCCTCTGCACGCCCCTCCGAGACTGCTTCTCCTCGCCGGCCCGGCTGCGGTGGTGCATCGAGACTTTTCCCGTGCTGCGGCCGCTCATGTGCGAGACAGCGGCCGCCGTCGGGGATCTGCACCTCTTCAAAATGCTTCGCTGCTTGACCGATGACGCATGCCTGCTGCCTTGGGACGAGGGCACCGCGCGAGCCGCGGCGCGAGCCGGCCACCACGAGCTGCTCAAGCTCGCGCGCGGTGTCGGTTGCCCTTGGGAGGAGGAGCACATGCTCGAGTACGCTGCAGAGAGCGGGTCGGTAGAGATGGCTACATGGCTGTACGACGAGGAGGGCATCCGGTGGTCCGGCTATGAGCCAGGAATCGCCGCCGCGTGCGGGCACCTCCATTTTCTGCAGTGGGCTCTGGAAGAGGGTGGTGCCGACTGGAACGCCGACATGTACACGTGGCCGGCTGCCACGGGCCAGCTCGATGTGCTACGCTGGCTGAATGCGCCCCCGAGCCACCTGAGCGGAGACGGCGGCCCGCGTGGCTGGAGGTTCAAGGTCTGCTTGTATGCGGCAGCGGGCGGTCAGTTGGAGGTGTTGCGATGGGCGACGACAGTAGAATCGGAGGATGATCCTGCTGGTCCATTAACGGCGTTCATAGTAGCGGAGACCCTCGAGGTCGCCGCAGCCAACGGCCGCAGGTCTGTGCTGGACTGGCTGTGGGCCCAGCGCGATTGGCAGGGACTGTCTTCTTCACAACGTGAGCAGATTTGCTACGCGCTGTGCAGAGGCCGTGCGGAGGCACTGTTGTGGGCAGAGGCCCACGGTTTCGTTCCACGACCGCCGCTTCCTTACCAAATGGCCCATTACAGCGGCGACCACATTCACAGCGTGCTCCGCCCACATGTCCGCTGCAGGCCCTCTTCAGCTTGAGGGTCAGCGGCGAGGCCCGACGGAGGGTAGGGGGGGAGGGGGTGCCGGTGTGAGGTGCGCGCAGCCCTCGGCGCCTTTGCGTTAGGGCTCTGAGCTGGTTCTCGGCCCGAATCCACATACCACAACGAATCCACATACCACAACGACCGACGGCGGACCTGTCCGCTGCGTGTGACACGCGGGTGCTGGAGGGGCAGCGTGAGGTTAGAGACGTTATGGCTTCTGGAGGCACCTGGGGGTATAGGGGGGGGTGCGCGCGCGGAGGGGCGGCGGAGGCGCAGGGAGCCCCTCGCCGCAGCTGTCACGCCGTTTCGGTCAAAGATACCCCCAGGTGCCTCCAGAAGCCATAACGTCTCTAACCTCGCGCTGCACCTCCAGCACCCGCGTGTCACACGCGGCGGACAGGTCCGCCGTCGGTCGTTGTGGTATGTGGATTCGTTGTGGTATGTGGATTCGGGCCGAGAACCAGCTCAGAGCCTTAACGCCAAGGCGCCG